AATTTTTTTTTTGAAATTTTCAAATTTTGACCCGGCCGGGTTATGAAAACCATTTAATTAATTTTGCATGGCCTAATCTTTATATATTATAAAACTTTTAAGTTTTATAATTTATTTAAAAATAAATTTTAATATAAATTTTAAAGAAAGGTAACCCCTATTGTGTTACTAATAAAAATGTTCCTCTCGTAATTTTACCCTATTCCAACCCTAACTCTAACTCTAATTATTACTTTTATTTTTATCCTAAAAATTTATTTATTTGACTATTAAATAAATATTATTTATAATTATATTTATTTATAAATTATAACTATGTAAGTCTATATTGGGTTTATAAACTTATGCATTTTTAAAATAAAATATTTACATAACTCTACATAAAAACAACTTTGTGATAAAGGTGAAATCATAAGAATGGATTGTCTAATCAGATACGCATTAAATATATTCTTCGTTGCACTTCTTGATATTATCTGACAATCAGTTCTTTCCGGTATAAGTTTTAACGATGAATATGAATTCTGCTTGCTGTTTATTACTTGGCAACCCCAAACAAAATTTTTACGTGTTATTGGCTTAACTATTTGATAATCGATCCGTTCATAGTATTGAATTGGATTCGATCTTTGGATTATCAATCTTTAAACGTCGAATAATTTAAAGATTATACTATTAAATGCATGAATATTTATTTAATGAATTGATAAATTTTGAGTTTGACACTATTTACCGAAATGGGATACATATTTGATTTTAGTTATGAACCCAAACTAGGTAGAAGTGCCGATTCCCAAACTAAGTAGAAACGCCGTAACTAAAAAAGAGAGTTTGGATTGCAACCCTATATGGCATGTAATCACATATAATATTATCTAATTTAATTTTCACGAGCTGAATTTGATGAATAATAATGATAAGCTTGAAAGTCAGAAATTTCATTTTCTTATGCCAGTGCTCAAATGATTTCTATACATTTTGGGTTTATACTACAATTTATTATTCGTTATTTATCTATTTATAAAATTTCCTGATGAAGCTATGTTGATCCTTAAATCTAAAAGATGTGTATAATAATATGGAAGACCAAAATAGTATGGTAAAGAGTGTAGAATACCTATTTAAAAAAACCATATATACCATACTAATCCCCGATCATTATGTCAATATCACGGGGATTATTATTACTTATTAATTAAAGGATCACTTATATTAATATTTCTGTATGTCTTAACATTTTGAAAAATACTGAAAATTGAAATTTTTTATTGCTACTCATTGTTAGAAAAAAAATAAATAAAGAAATTATATATGTATATACTGATTTTATCAGTTAGGACCGTAATTTGAACCTGAATTGGCTGTTATGAGATCGAAAACCGAAATTTATTAGTTTTGAAGACCGATCCATCATTATTAGTCATTATTAGTGATGTATCCCAAACTGGTTCGGCACCAAATTACGGATACAGCAATTTTTGATCGGGATTTGGGATTTTGCCGATATTTAACAATTACGATATATTAATCATATGATGAAAATTTTTTCATCGGAGTTAATGTCACTTTCATATGGCGGCAAATATAATTGCTATTTGGGGATTTTATTACGGCAAACTCCGAACTAAGTTTCGTCAATTTGGAACTGACAGATGACGAAACTATCGGTTTGGGTGACACCACTAGTCATTATTAGTTGTTACATATTTTATTAATCATATATCCGCGAATATTATTGCGCTTTGCAAAAAGATGTTGACCTCTGCAGATCACAATGTCGCGTGAAAATCGGAGATTCTGTAGATAATACCATCGATTTCAAATAAATATAAATTTAACTGATCGAAAATATGAATTAATAGACAATTTAGAATATCAGAAATTTCCCTCGATCATCATCACAAAAATCATGGGGTCACATCTTCTTGCAAAGCGCTATAAGAATTACTATTTAAAATTCCAAAATCTTTAACCATAAATAATTTTTGATTCACTGGTCCGTTTTGGATGATTTTACCATCAAATGACCATCTCAATGAGACGATTCTAACGAGCCCCAAAATCGTTAAAATCTAATAATGGGATCCCGAGATAGTTAAGGATTTGTCACTTCGGGTGTTTTAGGATTGATTAAGCCAATCCTAAAAACATCCGAAGTGATAACTATCTCGGGATCCTATTATTGGATTTTAATTATTTTGGGCTCGTTAGAATTACCTCATTGAGACGGTCATTCAATGGTAAAATTATCAAAAACGGACCAGTGAATCAAAAGTTATTTTATGATTAAAGATTTTGAAAATTTTAACTGTATATCATCAGGTAACACAAATTATGATACCCTTGACTGACCAATCAGATTCGAACACACGATTGAAATTTTACTATATAATATATAGATGGATAAATTTATGCACGTGGTTCTCGATATAACGGATGTTGCTTAATACGGAGAATTATAATAGAACCAAATTACGATTTACTATAATATCTGATATATCATGATATTTTGTTATTACGGAGCTTTTGATATAACGGAGCAAAGGACTGGAACTATTGTTGCAAACTGGCGACTATCTAAAATTTGATTGGCTAATGTAGTAAACAGCCAATCAGATTTTAGATAGTCACCAGCTTCACCAACACTGGTCGAAATAAAAGCATATCGGGCAAGTATCATAGCTTTTTTTAGTCCTGATATGGCACTGATTAATGGCTCGAATCGAGTCATTTCTAGGTTCACATAGAAACTGATAGAGCTATCAGTAAAATTATAAAAGCTATCAGGTTTCTGATATTTAATCAATATCTCTATCGGCTCCGATATAAACCTGGAAATGACACGATTAACTATAGTTTGGACTAGTTAAAACCTTTCCCAAATTGGTTAAGCACGTGGCCCAATCCCAAACAAGGTACAAATCCTATGTACAAATCCCAATCAAGGTATTCCCAATTCTATGTACAAATCTCAATCCTACTATATATGTAAATATAGTGAATATCTTATACTTTAGAAATTTTGCAAAACATCAAACCAAAAAAAATCATGTATATATGAATTTAAGTATTTCTGTATAATATAATTAATTAATATTTAAATATTGGAAATATAATGCTTTCAATTTTGTTCACACATTTATTGCATTCAAATACTTTTAATTCCTTATTTAACAACTTATCAAACAACATACTATCTTGCCAAATCGATTTACACTGAATTTGAGAAGAAAATTAATCATGAATAATGCTATTCTAGAATAGAATTATAATGTATTATAGATTTGGAACAAATTTTAATACCGATGCAACATTAGATAATACTAATCTAGAATAAAATTGTAATGTAAAAAGTACTATTACTAGATAATAAAATTATAATGCTAAAAATACTTGTAACAAATTGAAAAAATTTACATATAGAATTTAATACAAATTCAGAATTAGAAACTAGTTTAATATTTGGAACGGGATTGGGATTTGGGACGAGTTTGGGATTTGGGATGAATTTAGGATTTAAAATGAGTTTGGGGCTAAAAGTGGGATTTGGGTCAAAATTTAGGCTTAGTTTTGGCCAATAGTAATAACTATTTGGACGGCAACTATAGCTGGAACCAATGGCCTCCGCCATATCTAGAGCCACGTGTATTACATAAATAAATAAAATATTTTTATATTATGATTTTGTTGATTATAATTTTCAATGCAGTTTCAACAAATATTAATAAAAACTTTGTTGTAAGTTGGCAAGAACAAACTTCGTACAGATTAAACAGATTAAACATACTGGACATGCATTCGAGCGAAATCTTAATTTTGGATCTTAATTTTGGATGTTGTTGACATTGTAGTATCGTTCAGAATACATTCGCTACATTACTAATCACGTCCAAATCAGAAGTTTATCACTGCCGAATCAAAAACATATCGGATCGGCAAAATAATCATTCGGTCAATTTTTTTTTACAAGATGACCCAAAATTTATGAGGACAGTTGTAATTAACTTTAGAAAATTTATTAATTTACACTATATAGTACAGAGTTAATTTTTCAATTAAATTTTACTGTGCGGCAAATAAAAAAAAAAAAACGAGAAATTATTTGCAACTGTGCGCACTACTTGCAAATGCCTAAATCCTCGTTTATAGTTAGGGTAAGGGTGAGTTTGGGATTGGAGACGAAAGTTAGTTTATGCCAAAATTTTGCGAGGAGTTTTTTTGTTAAAAGTCAAAAGGTTGTTTCATAATCGAAAATTCAACACCCGTATTGCTTTTTTTTAGCCAATAGAAATTCAAGGATCGACAGGCAATCAACTGATAAATTCAGATTATCGTTATCACGATAATTGTTTCTTTTTAACGTTTTATAAAATCATGGATTCAAGAACTATTGGAGTATTGGGTGGTGGTCAACTGGGTAGAATGTTAGTAGAAGCAGCTTCACGGTTAAATATTAAAGTTATAATTCTCGATACACCACCTAACGCTCCAGCCAAACAAATACAAGCAACCCAAACGCATATTCATGGAGATTTTAAAGATCCGTATAAAATTAGAGAACTTTCAAAAACAACTGATGTATTAACGGTAGAAATTGAACACGTTAATACAGAAATTTTGGAAACTTTAATGAATGAAAATACTGTTGTTGTACACCCTTCACCTTCTACAATTAAACTTATTCAAGATAAATACACACAAAAAATTCATTTATCAAAAAACAAAATTCCAGTTGTAGATTTTATTGAAATTCCTACAAAAGATGATTTATCAATTGCAATTGAGAAATTTGGATATCCTTTAATGTTAAAATCAAAAACTCTTGCATATGATGGACGTGGTAACTATTTATTACGTTCTGAAGATGAAATATCAAATGCTTTAGAATCTTTAGGAAATTTCAAGATACCATTATATGCTGAAAGATGGACATCATTTACCAAAGAATTGGCCGTTATGGTTGTTAGAAGGGCCAATGGAGAAATTAAAAGTTATCCAGTAGTTGAAACAGTACAAAAAGAAAATATTTGTCATTTGGTTATTGCACCGGCTCAAATTAATGGTGTTATTTCGGAAAAAGCTAAAGATATAGCAGAAAAAGCTGTATTAACTTTGGAAGGTGCTGGAGTTTTTGGCGTTGAAATGTTTTTAATGAATGATGGTATAATTTATTTTTTTCTCCTCGCATGCTATTTGATGATAATATCTTACGTTGAATAATAACTCTGTTATAGGTCATATATATGTGAATGAGATTGCACCACGTCCTCACAATTCGGGTCATTATACAATTGAAGCATGCGAAACTTCTCAATACGAAAATCATATACGTTGTATATTGGATCTTCCGTTAGGTAGCACTGCTTTAAAAGTACCAGCTGCAGCAATGATAAATGTTCTTGGTAAATCTAATGATTTACAAGAAACTTTACGTTCATGTGCTGAATCATTATCTATTCCTGGTGCAACGATTCATTTATATGGAAAACAAGATTGTAAAAAAGGTCGAAAGATGGGACATATTACAGTTGTATCAGATTCTATTTCACAATTATTTTCAAGAATTAAACCAATATTAAAAATAATTAATGAAAATGAAAATGATATTTCAACTACAATGAAAATTCAACCACTTGTTGGAATTATAATGGGATCTGATTCAGATTTACCAACTATGAAACCTTGTGCTGAAATATTAAAATCTTTTGATGTACCATTTGAATTATCGATTGTTTCGGCACATAGAACACCGAATAGAATGTTTGAATATGCAGTAAATGCACATAAAAGAGGGATAAAAGTAATTGTGGCTGGTGCCGGTGGTGCGGCCCATTTACCTGGAATGGTAGCTGCACTTACTCCATTACCAGTCATTGGTGTACCTGTTAAAGGTAAAATATTGGATGGTGTGGATTCTTTATACAGTATCGTGCAGATGCCGGTAAGTTATTTTTTATTATCGGAAATTTACCGAAAAAAATCGGGTGAATAATTTAATATCTTATTATTTTTAGAGAGGAATACCTGTAGCCACAGTGGCAATTAATAATTCAACAAATGCAGGAATATTGGCAGTTAGGCAACTTGGGGCATTCATTCCTGGGTATTTAGAGAAAATGCAAAAATTTATGGAAAAGCAAGAGAATGAAGTTTTGGCGAAAGTTGATAAATTAGAAGAAGTTGGATGGGAAAGTTATTAATTATAAATTTTTTTTATATTTTTATTCTTTTACCAATTTAGAATTACACAATTATCAATTATTAATTATTTCGCAACTATGACAAAAGTAAATTCAAAATTATTACTAAAAAAATTATCAGTTTATCTTCATATTTATTTGTATACACGTCTTTAATACAGCAAGCTTTTACTTTTTAAACTGTATTTAAACAAATATGATCATAATTTATAATCTTCAAATAAAGCAAAAAAAAAAAAAAAAAAAAGGTAAGATATATATTTTTAGGATAGTAGTAGTTTTTAAGCGATGTACAGAAAAAGACGATCAGTTAATAGTCAGTTATTTGATCCGTATGATGCTGATGCAGTGCTAAAGAAACCTAAATTACGAGTTTAGGTTACAATAGTTTAGGGTTTGAGCCTCTAACCCAAACCTGTAGTTTAGAGACCCAACTCCAATGCAGTGATCTGTGAAAAAAGTATATAAGTCAACGTCAGAGTATAAACATTAAAAACAAGGTGAGCCTTATCCATATTCACTATTCACTATTCACAAACGCTCGTACATACTTTTGAAGCTAAAAACTATGAAATAATGTCAACTGCAGATTTCATCAACGATAAAGTTCGAGCAAAGATTGAAAGAGTTACCTACGATATAACAAGGAGGCCAACAAATTCCCGCTCCAAATAATACTATTCTTAGGAACTTGACGGTGCGCGTTATAGATTTTCGTGTTTATTTTTTTGAAATTGCGATGAAGAAAATCAATTTTACAAGGTGCGCAAGTATAACGAAGAGGTAGTATATTAATTACAATGATCATAAGAAAAGGCAATGATGTTAAACATTTGAGCGGGGTACTTTGACGAACAAGATTAAAGAAACTTTATTTTTCGTATTTGGGAATCTTATAGAACCGATAAATAATAAAGCAACACCTGATGCCTAGAAAAGCAGATATGAAATACCTGCAAATATAATCGTTGAGAGTATTGATGAAGCATTGACAGCTAGAAAAAATAAAATCGATGAGAGTATTGATGAAGCATTGACAGCTATAAAAAATATAATCGATGAGAGTATTGATGAAGCATTGACAGCTCGAAAAAATTTTATATAAAAAAAAAACTATGCTTAAGAACAATGGAATCGCCTCTTTAAAATTTTACCTTCCTTTCATCGCAGGAAGGGTAAAAATCTTAAACCAAAAATATTAGAAGGGTTAATTAATGAACCAATTCATAATAATTGATTTTTTATTACTTGGTTCACTAATTATATTTTTTTTCGGAATGGTGTTGAGAAGAAAAATTCGATGACGGACCTTCTGGCAGTAAGACAGGTGAAATTAGAACTTTTGACAGAAGTAATAGAAAATTTTACTAGTAAATGTTAAATAGTTCTAATTCTAACCCTAAATGTAATATGGTTTTCTTGACTTTAATTTACAAGCAACTTTTATATTGATTATCACAGATCACGTTATAGGAGGGGATTTTTGTAATCTATAAATACAAGAATTTGAATATATGTAATATTTAGGTAGATTTTTATTTTCGGCTTCTTCATCTTCATGTAATTTCTTCATCTAGCCTAACAATCATGTACATGCATATTTTCATTATATGGGTAAATTTATACTTAGAAGAGGATATAGCATAATGATATATGATTTATATTGTTGAAGTTATTCTTTTATTACGATTTTTCTGGTCAATCCTCGGTCAAAATATTCTAATACCTGAACTCAAAATGTCCTCATTTCATGACTTTTTTATATTTACTAGATAATTGCATTGGAAAAATAGTATATCATGCCAGGGTCCTCTTTATTTCATAAAAAATGTTACCGGAACAACAATATACAAATAAAAAATAAATATTTTTTTATACATAACATATGTCTCAAAGATGGGTTACGGGTTAACTTACTGAAATAAATAATTCCGAAAGTCACATTTTACCGAAATAACAAATTAATTAATAATAAACTTTACTGATAAGTCATTTATCTACAATTTTACTAATAAGTCATTATCTACAATTTCCATTTCACCGAATATTAAAAAGATGAATGCCTATTTTATTGACATGCTACTTTATCCGAATGGTAAATTTTTCTGACATTCTATTTTTTTTTTTTGAAAATATATTACCAAAGGATGTTTTACCGAATTTACAGCTATTTTTATAAATTTAATTTCAATATACTGTCAGAAACGTGTCTTGTCGGGAAAAAGGGATATCGGAATTATGGGGTCGGGGGAAATGGTATTTCGGGAAAGTATGGGCTATGTTAGTAGGGGTTGCATTTGATTCATCCCGTTTATCTATTATCGGAATTAGCCTATTTATTATCTATCACGTTCTAGGTTTTTTTTCGACAATTTTCCCGATATTTTTTTGAAATTAAAAATACTGCTTATCACGTGTTTATTGAGATTTTTAAATATATATATATATATAATATAAAGTATTAATAAATAATATATTATATATTAATATATATAATATATATATGCGTATATAATATATTATACAGTAGGATCACTTTTACTAAAACGTACTTATAGTGTTGCACTAATTAATTGGTACGTACATACGTACATGATACTCTAAAATCTCCAAATAAAAATGCTCTATAACTCAAAAACCTTTCACTAACTTTAAATTTAATTCAAAATACTAAACTAAGGTAAAAAGACGTAATAAAGACATAATAATTGTAAAACCAAAGTAGGCACGTTTTAACCAATTTGAATAATGCACCCAAGTAATATATATACAAGTAATATATACAAGCTGATACAGTATGTCACAGTGGCATTATGGAAAAATTTCTAATTTCAATTATGATTACAAATTGAAAAAACAACTTCACAATTAATAATAATAATAATTTTAATTAACCTTATAAATAATAAAAATAATAGGATCTTTATGTTTGAATTACAAGATCGATATTTTTTTCAAAATTTAATACCGATACAAGGGATTTAAAGTTTATTGGAGGCGACCAAATTTTTTATGACATTAAATGTTTTTTAGATAATAAAGTAAACAAATAATTTTTAATTATTACATTTTGTCGAATACTTTCATAGAATTTAATCATAAAAAACTAAAACGCAAAATCAAACAGTCTACCATCGATTTAAATGGGTAGACCAACTACTTACCATTTTCAACAGAGCTCTATATCGAAGAATGAATCAATTTCAAAGTGGTCATAGAAATGTCTAAGAAATGATTAAATTAGCTATTCAAATGATTTTATCAACTTTTTTTATTATAATATAGCATTTTCGATTTAAGATTACTTATACTGTATATGTTGTTCGTTAATCAAATTAATAATGCGTTCGTGTTAGATTAAAATAATTATGATATCGCTAATACAATAAAACCAAACCTTTACCCCTAATAAACTTCTATTTAAATTTTAACATGACAATTTTTTTAAAAAAATTTAACATTGAAACAAACCTGTTATCAACTCGAAAAGTGTAGACCGCAATCTGCAATTATACATGTAATTAAGCATTATTATATCAGATATAGTACGTACGTACGTACGAAATATATCGATATCGATATTAAACTATTGGTTATCTCTGTGATGAACTTATTACATTAAACGTTATTAATCCGGATCTAGATTTAGAATAGCGATTTAATATCTAGACCATAGATATATCTATCGCTATGATGAAAATGGATTTACCGTTACTAAACTAAGGTAACAGGATCAATGATCGACGATTTCCTAAAGAAAAAATAGGATTCGTAATAGGCTTGTTGATTAAAATTTGGAAAAGAGGAAAATTTCCTGAATTAAACATATATATAAAAAAATTTCGAAAAATTGAACGAGTAATAGAATAATCTTTTTTTACGAAAAGACTTCAAAGTCAAATAATGATAAAGGATTGGTAGGAGAGAAAACCGGATATTGGTAAATACAGAAATCGAACGTTAACGTTAATGTTAAAACGTTAATGTTAACGTTAATGTTAACGTTATTGTTAACGTTATTGTTAACGTTATTGTTAACGTTATTGTTAACGTTATTGTTAACGTTATTGTTAAAAGGATTAAAAGGATTAAAAGAATTAAAAGAATTAAAAGAATTTCGATCTATATAACGATAACAGGTTTTTTATCGTAACAAGCATTTCTTTATTTATCAGTATCAACCAACCGATTTTCATAGTAACAAAGGGTTAACGACTTTGTATGAATAGAAAATCTTCGCTTTGTCGTTTAAAGGACGAAAGGATAATAAAGAGATTATTAAAATGTATCTTGGTTGGTTATAATTAAAGCTAGATGGCATAAAGATACATATATATTGACCGAATAATTTCTCAAAAAAAAAAATTATTTTTTTTTGAAATCATTATTTTTTCATTTCGCTTCTCTTTCGTAATTTCTTAATGTTATAACACAAAACTATATAACACACTTATGACATTAATAAGACATTTTAAAGCAAAATTTAAGATACACAGCATAAATTTTAAGACATGGCACGCGTATTAGCGAAATAAGGTCAACAAGAAAATTAATCACAGATTTATATAAATCATATATTACACGTAAAGCATTCACCACTTTACGCACGCATTTTACATTACCAACCAAAAAATACAAACCATACAAAATATACAAAATATAGTATGAATTAACAAATTTCATATATGAAAAAATGTTGTGTTAGTCACGCCAAACAGTAAAGGCTTATTTTAGGCGTATCTATTACAGTATTTCGAACGAAAATTGAAATCTTTGAGAAACCCTTGTTTGATAACTAATAATAGTAAATTTTCCAAATGTAGGGTAACTTTAAATAAATGATTTGTTAAATTTAGGTCCTTGTTTTTATTACGTATTACTTATCAAGTTATGGTGGCTGAATTTTTATTATTTTTTTTTTATTATCTTTTTGTACTTAGAAGGATCAGAAGGAATTTAAGAGAGCACACGTGTAATGTTGAAATGCTAAGTGTAATGCAGTAATGTTGAAATGCTAATGATCAGAGCTATCATCAAAATTATCAGAATTTAAAAAAATTACACAGATACAAAAAAAAAAAATGTAATACAGAAAAAAACATTAAAAAAAAAAACAAAGTCCGAAAAAAATTTCATTGTAAAATTACTTTAGGTAACGATTTCCGACATTTTACTCCACATTTTTTACAGAATGTCAGGAGCGTTAATGGGTTGAGATTTTTTTTATTTTATTTTTTTTTTCTGATTTTCACCGCAGACAAAGAAAAATGAATTTCTCGTGGCGTGAAATGCATACATGATTACGCAATTTTAAACCCATTTTATGAATATTACAGTTACACTGCACAAACACTTTAGTGATATGAAATCATTTTTATAATATCTTATAGTATCATTGTAGGACAGTAGTAGGACAGTAGTAGGACAGTAGTAGGATATGTAGGTGGTACTTTGTGGACTTGGTGGTATGTAGATGGTATGTAGGATAATACGTGGGAATTTGTGGGAACAACATGAGCAACATGACCAACATGACCAACATGACCAGTAGTAAATAACGATAATCATTTAAATTGATAATTAAGAACAATGATCAGTATAAAAAAAAAAAAATTTTTTTTATCGTGAACCCTTTCACAAATTTCACAGAAGACGCCTTATGAATTAAAGTTACACGAATGAAGATCGTGTTAAGCATATTTTAACGTAGAATGAATAGAACTCAAATTCTTAGATTCTAGGGTGAATATGTAACACAAAAAGAACTGAGAATTGTAAAAAAAAAAAAAAGTATAGTATATTGAATGAATGGACAAAGGGGAAACAAAGACGAGTAAAAAAATTTCTTTGTTTAGTCCGCCACGTTTTTTTTTTATTATGTAATCGACTAAATGTCATTTGTTTGTTGCTCGTTTTCGGTATCCTTAATTTGCCACATGGCAAATAAAGTTACTCAGATGTAATTCATACTGGTCATTGTATTTTCCCTCTCGCAACCTTCGTAATTTTCTATGCATTTTACTCAGGTAGTACTTAAAAAACGTGCGCATAATTTTTTAGTCTAATATTTTGTACAAGTTAACAAGGAATGTATATTCGTATACCCTAATAATGGTTGAAACGTCATGAGTTCCTTATATGTCAAACAGGTTAGAGTAACAAGGTAATTTGAAATTGAACAAATCAAATAATGATTTTCTGCTTATTACAAAGAGTACCCTTCTAGACGTGGATCATTCTCCGGATATTAAATTATTATTTTTTATTTATCAAAATATTTATTTATAAAGAAAGATATCTAAATTAATATATATAAAATATAAAATACATATACATATATACGTATACATTTATACGTATACATACACATATACATATATATACTCATATATAAATATATATATTTATATTATATATAATTTTTTTTTTATTTATCTTACTTTAAAGTTATAATTTACTTGTATCTCCATACATACTTTTATACCCATCTGCTATTTTTTTTTTGAGTATAAATACAGGTTCTCCGCTTTCCATTTTTTTTTCTTCGTCCAAATTGCGCATTTCAAAGTCCTTTGTTCTTTGAGGAATTTTTCAATAAAGAAAACAATAGTAGTTCTTGCTCTGCGAGCATTACCATATATATAACTTTTTTAAAATTACTTTTTTAGATTGTTGAGATAAAAAAAAATTAAAATTTCCGATTTTTTCTCTTTTTTTAAATAATAAAAAAAAAAAAATGATGACATCTACATCAACTCCTCCAACGTCTCCAAAATCTATTAATCCATTGACCGACCCTCCTACATTACCAAAATTAAGGCACATTGCTCCTGCTCCTCGAGATAAACCTGAATATGATATTTATCATATTCCAAAAGGTTATGAAGTAGTATTAGTACCAAAAACTTCTTCTAATGGTACTACTGATTTCTCCACTGGTCCTACTTCTCCTACTTCAAGTGTTATACCTCTTTCACCCGCTGCTTCTGTGTCTAGTATTCATGGTTCTCCCTCAAAACTTTCCCTTTCTCCTCCATCTAAATCTCCTCCAAATAGTTCGTGGCGCAAACGTAAAAATAATGGTCATATTCCTCGTCCTAAAAATTGTTTCATGGCCTATCGTGAACATATGCAACATGAAGTTCTTAAAAAAAATCCTGGAATGAATAATAAACATGTTTCTGTTATTGCTGCTGAAATGTGGAAAAATGAACCCGAAGATGTTAAACAATTTTGGCGTGCTCGTGCTCAACAATTAAAACTTGAACATATGGCTAAATATCCAAATTATAAATTTGCTCCAAAAAAGAAACAATCAAAATCTTCAAGTAATAATAATAATAATAATAATAATCTTAATTCTCTTGGTCTTAATGGAATTAAACAAATGAATAATAATAATAAAGTCATTAAAAGATCTTCTAATTTAATGACTGATGGTTTATTAAAAAATCGTGATTCTCCTTTTTTTTGGGGTCATTATCGTTCTTCTTCTTCGGATTCAATTGGTTCAATTGGTTCAATTGGTTCAATTGGTTCAATTAATTCTTGGACTAGTGATTCTGCTCCTTCAACTCCTCCCTCCTTTATTGATGATCCTTCTCATTCTCCTCCTATTTTTAATTCTCATCATGATAATCGTTCTCCTTCTCCTTTACGTTTTGAAACTTTAAAAGTTGAATCAAATAATCTTGATCATCAAAATGATTGGCAAAGAATTTGTGATATGCCTCTTGAAGGTGAACTCTTTCAATCTCTTCTTCCTCCTCCCATGATGGATTTCGATCAACCTATCCATGTTGATGCTCCTTATTATGATGATTTTGAAAGTGGAAGTTTCCTTCAACCTGATACTCAACTTTTAAATCCTTTTGAATTTAACCATGTCATTCCTACAAATCACCATAATCATCATCAAGGTTATAATACCGCCCTCTATTAATTCCCCTTTTAATTTAAGTTTAACTGAGCAGCACGGATCGCTGGTCGGTTCATTTTTGAATCATAAATTTTTTGAATCACATACATACATACATACATACATACATACATACATACATACATACATATTTATATATAATTATTGAACCATATAATTTTGAACCAGCCATATAATAATTTGGTTGCATATATTCTCGAACCTTTTTTAATCAATTAATTTTTACGCGCATATTTTGGACACCTTAAATATTTTTTTTCACATTTCGTATGTGTATAAAAAAAAAAAAAAAAAATCTTGAAAAATTCTTTTTTTTTGTATTTATTCTTAAATTCCACTCCGTAACCCTTGTATTTTTCCGTCGCTTTTTTTTTGTAACCTAACATAGATTATACATACGCTTATAGACGCAAAGTCTCCAATTTAACGTAAAAAAAAAAAAGATTGGCAGCATTTGCATTTTTTGTTATATTATTCTCATAGACTTGTTTTAAATAGCATTGTATTTATTACTGCATTTTCATTCTTTTTTTTTCTTTTTTTTTCTCTAATTGCATTCACATTCTTTTTACATATACACGTTGCATTTTCTTTTTTTCAAAAAAATCGCATTTTATAAACAAATAACGCATCTTTTTTTTTATTATTATTCTTTTCTCTTTTCTTTTTTCATTCGTTTTTTTTATTTTAATTAGCATTCGAAAACTCAGAAAAAAAACTCAGAAAACAAAAAAAAAAAAAAAAAAAAAAAAAAAAAATTCATTACTGTATCTTCTTTTATTTATTTTCATATTTTCGTTCTTTTTTATTTTTTTCATCACCCAAAAAAAATCAATTCATTTTCATACGATCGATTTTAAAAATTGTGTTTACGCTTTTAGTTAGTTAATCAAATTTTTTAACGAAATAATTATGTAAAAGCAAACAAAAAAGGACATTTTTTTTCTTTTCTTCTTCAAAGTTTAATTAAGCAGGGCGAAACTAAATACATTCATTATGCAAACAAAAATTAAATAAAATCTAATTTCTAGGATTTTTTTCTTAAACATAATTAATTACCTTGTTTATTTTTTACCTGTTTATTTTTGATGATTTTTTCTGACGCGATTATCAATCAAAATTACTGTTTTCTTAACGTTTAACGTTATTAACTGTTAACATTAAACTAACGTTATTAACTGTTAACATTAAACGTTAACGTTAAAAAAAAATAAAATTCTCAATTTAGTCTTATTGTAACTCGGAGAATTCTGAAATTTGAAATTCGGAATTAGTATATCAAATTACATTGCATTACGATTATGTGAATAGGATAATAATTTGCAGTAGACCCTTATCTAAAAATGTACTCCTTTGTCAGCTGTATTTCATTTAAAAATTTTTTAGACTGGACCAGAACACGCATGTGTACATGCATGCATGTTTGTACATTTTAGGTGCATTATAATTAATAATTCTCAATTTTTTAAACGTTAATGATTATTAACGTTAAAAAAAAAATTAACCTTTTTTTTTTTTAATAATTAATTAATTTAAAACAAGTTTTATATTTGATAAATTGCCCCCCCTTGTGATCTAATTTTACTACTTAGCATTGGTGTGATTTTTAGTCATGAACTTAAATAACCAACTGGTATAAACTGGTATAAATTGGTATTAACTAGTATATGTGCGTATATAATATAAGCATATTACGTATTATATATATGTAGTCCATAACACTTTATATTATTTACTAATATGACATAATGTAACCGTCTATGACTATATAACTAGTAATCTTTTTATTTTTCATACGTACATACGTACGTATATATTAAAACGTACATATAATTGTAAAGTGTGCAGTGCTCGTTAGAGATATTTTAATTTAGGTAAAATTTACTATTTATAATTATATAGACCATTTTAGGGAGGACTAGACTACATTTTGTATGTGTAATTATATTTATACCTGTCTGCTATTTTAAGATTAGATCTGTTCTATTTTTAATTCCGAACTTCTAATTTTCTAATAAATAAAATTGGGATTTTATTGGAGCTATAGAGAAGAGATATTAGACAATACTCAAATAGTTCTGGAATCAATATATTCTTTGAAAGGAAATTTTATACAGTTCTGTAACTTGCTTGGGCAATTAAAGAAGTCATGTAATTGGGAATTTGCCACTTATTTTTTATATTTAGACTCCGGTAATCAAACTTATCAAAAGATTTTTTTTTAAAAAAAATCTTTTTTTATTGTCCGTCATTCCTATAATTAAAATTATTTGCTTTGTCTATTTTGTACTTCATGAAAACTAAATTTAACGAGATTTTAATAAATTTGTTTTTCACATATTTTCGTTTCGATCATTACGTGTAACACTATTTATCATATGTTAAAAACCCGGGTTTAACATATGAAATATTATAACCGGTGCCAAACTTTATAAAATATATACTGCTTAATAAACATTGTTTTTTCTTCTAGCGTGAACGCTATGAACGCTTAAATCATAGTAAGGGCGATGGTTAATGCAGGTAAATATGAGAATCTGCGTTTAAGTCGGCCTAAGTTAAGATAGAGTTAGGGTAAGATTAGGGTTTAATTTAGGCCAATCAATGTCGATCAGTTAATGCTGGCCAAAAAAAATCAACAGAGGCATCAAAGGCACAACATATGTATGAGTTTACTGTCGGTTACAAAAATTTGTGGAAAGATGCAGATCACTATACTATGGAAATTTCACGATATTTCCCAGATTTCCAGAGTTTTCAAGACTCGCACTAATCGAATTTTTAATTTTTACTCTTCGAAAAACGATTTCTATATACTCATGTGGCGAATCACATCATTTTGAAAACAGCTGAAACATCTCAAATACTCAATATAAGTAAATTGTTAAAATACATATTCAGATACTAGAAATTATTTTGATAATGGACCACTAAAGAAATAAGTTATATTCTAAAGTTTACAAGAAATCGCTTTTTTTTTATTTTCCAAAAAAAATTAAACTTTAAAAATCATCAATATTTAATAAATTATATACTGCAAAACAAAAAAAAAAAAAAAAAAAGAATTCAAGTGTTTTTAGAGTTGTTAAAATTTTTCATTTAATAATTTCGATATATATTATAATAGGAATAGAGATGTACCTCTCGCGAGATCACACTCGTGACTTCGTGTGACTTGTGTGAGATGACATCACATCCAACGCGAGATAAATAATTAATTAGGAAAATTTTAAATGTATTTTGTCACATGTCTTGCACAAGTTTCGCGACATAATCTCGCGTGCGATTGCGAAACGTATGCTAGGTTTATCTCGTGACATGAACATCTTTAATCAGGTACATGAAACAATTTCATTTTGATTCGCAAAAAATTTATTTTTATTTGGCTAAAAAATTCAATTTACACAGTTAGAAGTCGAATCCTTTGCCCGTCATGATTATATGTTGTAAATAGAAACGGATTTAAGTAGATTCGGAATTTCTTAGTTATTAGGGTATAGGTTTACATTACAGATGATAAAAATTCTAATCTAACTAAAGAATTCCGAATCCACTTAAATTCTGTTTCCATTTACAGCTTGATATGATTGGAGAGCCTTTATTCAAATTTATTATTACTGTATTTCTAATAGTATATTAATTCTTTTTAATATCTACAATATAAATATTATTATTAGAAGTATATTCATTTACTGTTACGTGTTCAAGCGACTGCTGGTTAATATAATTAATAAACTCGCTGGTATGAATCATATAGCTTCCATATTATCAAAACCATAAATTTTAATTTCTATTTCTTCATCAGATTTTAAAAATTCGGCCAAAATTTCAGTACTATTTTTCCATTTTAAGATAGTTTCATGAATTTCTATAGCTGACGGTCGTTTTTCTGGATCTTTATCCCAACATTTCTTTAAAAGATTTACATAGGGTGATGTTGTACCTTTAATAATAATTGGTCTTAAACCTTCACAAATTTCTAACGCCAATCTCAAATTATCATCTTTATAGTTGGAAAATACAACACTTCCTGAAGAAATCTCCCACATAATCATTCCAAAAGAATAGATATCCGATGCTTTTGTGAATGGTTTTCCTTGTAAAACTTCTGGTGCAATGTATGGTAAAGCTCCATAAATTTCTCTAGATTATTTATCTAATGTTTTATTAAAAATCCTAAGTCACCGATATAAGCATTATGTAAATTATCTTGAAATATATTGCCACTATGTAAATCACAATGAATGATGTTATTAGAATGAATTAATTGAAGATCTAATGCGATATAAGATAATAATTCTAATTTTTTCTCCCATTTCATTTGTGCAACTTCATAAAGATTCTTACGTAAAGATCCCATTTCTGC